TTTTTTTTTTTTTTTTTTTTTTTTAACCAAATAGAGGTTAGTGGGGATGGTTGCTTAGGTAACATTTTTAGAATGGGAATGTTATTTATGGCCATTATTATGTTCATTGGTTTGCATGGAAAGCACAATAGTTAGAGGTAGAGAGGGTTTGTTTGGGGGAATGGAGAGTGAAGGGCATGTGTTTGTGGTAGGGTTTTGTACAGATTAAAGTGGAGCCCGGTGATGAGCCAACCGACATACCAAACGAAAACAGCAAGGCTGTAGCTGATGCGTTAGTTCTATATGTTTCACTAAAATCTTGTACAATTGGGCATCCCAAATCCCAAGCCTTGGGTAGGTGTGTTATTGTTACGTATTGATTCCCGCGCCCATCCCCAAGGCACTCATCGCTTTCCCTTCCGATTGCATTTCGGGGTTCGGACCACACAAGACAACCACAGGCACCACTTCCCCATCTGAACTGAACCGAGAGAGACCTTTCGTCTTGTTTTGCGCCACCACTCCCTCCCTCTCTCCCTCCCCCACCCCTTTGTTTCCTTTTTCAACGTAATAAAACATAATTTTTAAGTTTAATAAAGTGGATAAGAGAAGGAAAGAGATTATATTAACATATATTGATATAAATATAAATAAGGGGACCATTGCATTAACATACACACTGATTTGTTCAGAGAAATATATAGAGCCAAGAAGTGGTGGAATTGGAGAAATGAATGGAATGAGGACCGGTTTTAAGGAGGCTGGGCGGTTGCGTGTCCTGACCTCCTCAAAATTTATTTGATACGCATTTATGCATTCTAAATTCTACCCTCAGACAAAATAATAGTATTAATGTATTTATTTTTATTATTAATAATAACAACAGACCATTTATGTTTTCTGATTACTACTCTCTGTTATTTGGGACACATCTGTCTCCTTCCACCGCCCCCACTTTTTTTTTTCTTTTTTAATCTCTTCATCATTTCATCTCCTATTCCATTCCCTTCCCATCATTAAACCATAATTAAATCCTTATAATCACATCACCAAAAACATATATTATTTTAATCCCAAATCAATAAATGAACCCCATTGGCAAGTTTTGGGAGTGTAACAGTCGTTCTTCTCTCTCAAACGATGCGGGATCTCATAATACGAAATGGGTTTGGACAAAATCTTTGTTCCCTCTCAATGATTTTCACACCTTTTTAATGGGTTTGAACTGTTACCAAGCTAGATTTAGTTTGAGACAGGGAAGGAAAGAGTGAGAAGGGATAAATAAGCATGCGCGCATTTAGGTTTATAATAATAAATGTGAGTCTGGCACAAAATTTACACTCCAATGCTCCCCCTACTAAAGTATGCAGTAATTCTTGTGACCATACCCCAAAATTTAAATTCCATTAAATGCGTTTTTCATCCCTCTTAATACCCTCTGCAAATCTCACCAACCTTGCCTTATGCTGTCCTCACCTCTTTTCCTTCTTCTCAATTCCTTATTTACTGCTTTATCATTTGAAATTTCCAACTCAATTAATTTGAGCTTAATATTGTGAGATCACCAATCATCTCAAATTCCTCACCCCACATATTATAATATCATATTTGTAGTAGTTAGTTGCGCATTGATGCTTTTGGTGGTAATTGCAAACAGTATCTCAGCTTTTTGTCTGACCACAGTACACACTTAGTTTGATTACTTAATACAGCCTCTGCTGCATTTGTGCTCCTCCTCCTCCTCCTCCTCCTCCTCCTCTTCTTCACCTCTCTTCCTCCCACGCCCCACACTTGGCAATAACATTCTGGGATTCATTCCACCCACACTTGCACTTGGTCCTGTCTTCGAGCCCTCCCCAAAACACCCTTTTCCCCTTTTATTTTCTTGCCTTCGCTTTCGCAGTTCATCCCACGGGTAAGTTTGTTGTCTTCCTTCATTCTAATTATTATTCAAGATTATTGAAGAATATTTGAAACTCAAATTGAAACAAACATGGATTAAGGTGGATACCAATATTATTTTGTAATCAAGAGACACAATTTTCGATAGAGTACTTGTGCATATGCATTGTTTTTTTGTTTTGTTTTTTTTTCACTGCATGCACTTATTTTTACTGCAGTAAAAAAAAGGGTAAAAAATGTAGCACTGTCATTCCTGAAAACCTACGTACTGAACAAGCATGATTTCGTACAAATCAGACATAATACTTGTAATAATGATTGTTACACCATTCAAAACAATCAAAATCAGTGCTTTTTTTTTTTTTTTTTTTTTTTTTTATTTTNGCCTCCTAGTCATTGACGAGTGACTGCATGTTGTTGATATATAGATTGACCGAACGTATTGTATTGGTGAAAGAGTTGGAGAGTGAAGATGTTCGATCCGGATATGTTCGATACGCATCATCATATGCTTGATATGACCTTTAACACTTCAGAAAACGAATTGGAGAATGTTAGAGACGATGATTTTGAGGCCAAATCGGGAGCTGAAATGTTAGAGGAAGCTTGTGGGAGTGACCAACAACGCTCCAAGAAGAAGCGCTATAATCGCCATACGCAGCACCAAATCCAAGAAATGGAAGCGTGCGTAACCACCAAATCCAAGAGGCTTTTTTTTTTTTTTTTTTTTTTTTTTTTTTTTTTTTTTTTTTTTTTTTT